TAAAACCAGGGTGCAACGCGAATGACCACTGCCCGGCAATGTCGCTCTCAATAATCTAATCAACAAGTTCAACTAGCACGCTTCAATTTGCATGCCTCACGAGCCACTTACTGTCTACGATTTTACTAGCCAATTAAGTAAAAATTGTCGAAATTTGAAAATTGAAGTAAGGACTTTCCATCAAAATTACGTGGTTATCGATTCAAAAGCTATGTTTGCAGAGTTAAAAAAAACTACTGAATAGATCCTCAAAATAAGGATTTTTCTGTTCAGTCGTAAAGTCAGTTTTTGAATTGACAACTAGTAATTTCAACTTCAAATTTGTAATAGTTAGGAAACGTCCCTTGAAAGCACGAGCACCACTCACATCCTGTACAAGCCTTAAAATTCGGAGAAATTTGCAAACGTTTATTCCATTTCAAAAACCTGCACAGGTTTTAAGCGAATGCTCTGAAGAAGAATATGGCTGCGAGCTATGTGTTCGGAATCCATTCAGCTACTCCTTCGAAATTCGAATCAGATTAAAATCTGAGCAGGTTTCCCAAGCGTTAAAAAGCGATGTTTCAGAGAAAGTAACCAACCATGTGCATAAAATCTGACAATCAGGCAAGCAGTATGCAACAGTTCGACTGGTATTTATGTGCACAAATTTTCAGGATTCTGCCCGACTTTTCAAGCCCACACTGAGAGCTTATTTCAGGAGGAAATGAACAAAACAGAAAACCTTTTGAAGGTTCCATGTTCGTGATAACTGGATCCACATAGGTATAGCTGTCGTTTGAAATTGCCGTGTATCGATGTTCATCCCGTAATTTCACAATCACTGGATTACGGGCCAGCACCGGTAATGGACTTTGTCGTGTTCGACAAACAATGCGTGAAGCGGTCACGTATGCACTCTCGTCAACGTCACAGCGTACGTTTGCTGCAGTGACTGCATTCACCACTGCTTTGTAGCTATGACCGAGATTCATACCATCAATCACCAACTACAACAATCCGGTTCAATCCAATATTTTCTGGAACTGTAATTGTCCTTCCGGCGACCAGCTGTACAGCCAGAAAGAAGCCAATTCTTTTTTTATCCAGAAATTAGTACAATTTCGAGTTTTTATTTCGTGAAGCTGATTTTCAAAATTTTTGTTTATTAAATTTCACATTAACAAAAATTCAGTAAAAAGACTTTGCTCTATTTTGCCATTCATAAACAATTTCTACTATTATTTTTTCATAAAGGTCCTCCTCTCTAGCTGGAAACATTAAATAGCCCCAAATGTAAACTTTGCAAATGATATCCCAGCAAAAATGAGACAGTGAAAATGACTGGCCAAAAGAAATGTGACAATGAAACAAGGCAAGACCAAAGTATCCCGGACTTACCTTGGTTCCTCCAGCTATTGGTCCCTTTTTTGGACTGAAATCAGTGATCACCGGATAGGGGCAAAGCTGCGATCTAAAAACACAATATAAAGCAAAAAAGAAATCATGACAACGCAAATAAACATGGACGAGCACCGACTGGGCAACTGCAACGAAGTATGCGCTTTTTTGCATCGACACTTTATGCACATATGAATTTACACGAAATTTCAAGAGAAAAAACGCGATTGGTACATTTGCAAATACCTAGAAATTAGCCGCAATAAGATCACGAAACAGCTGTTGCTTTAATATTAACGTGTAGAATTTCTCACGATTCAGATTCGTTAATGCTGGGCGTTCCAACAAGGAAAAGAAGCTTTCGAGGATAACACCAGAAATGCAAGCTTGCAATGAGCTGGGAGGCACCTGCTTGGTTTGAATCTGTTGTGTTATTATTTCCAGGCATTCCGGGTATCAGAACACGTAAGCTCGGCATCCCAG